GAAAATGATTTTATTGAAGTTCGTGATGGTTTAACAGAAGATAATGCATTGCTTGGAAAGTTTTTTGGAAACTTTTCAAACATACAAAAAAGACATATTTTTACATCGAATTTTAAAATGCATGTTAAGTTTCAATCAAATTTTCAATTAAATCAAAAAGGATTCCGAGCTGTCATTTTTTCAGGTTAATCAATTATTTGATTGTAAAATAAAATACAAAATATATAATAATAAAATATGAAATATAAAACAATTGTAGACTCCCATAAAAATGTTTTATAGAATTTCTATAAACTTTTAAAACATACGACCTATAGAACTTCTACAGAATTTCTATAAAATGTCTATAAATTTCTATAGAAATTGCTATAAATTTTTTTATTTCTATAGAAAAAAAAAAGAAAATAATGTTCTATAGGAATTTATATAGAAATTAACAGAGATTCTATAGAAGTTCTATAGAATTTTTATAGGCCATATTTTTTTTAAAGTTTATAGAAATTCTATACAACTATTATTTCTAGACTATATTTAGAATTTTACACAAAGTTTTACAAAAACATTTTATTTATCATTTATCAGTTTTTTTTAAAAGAATAATTTTTTTTTACAATTAATAATCTTTATTTAATAAATGCACAATTAAAAAAAAGTTTATTAGTTAAAGCTATTGTTTGTTATCATTACATATAAATTTTATAAAAAAATATAAAATATATTTAAAAAATATGTTTTAGGTTGCACAGCAACAATTAATGCAACACATGGCACAATATCGAGTCCTAATTTTGGCGTCGGAAACTACCCCAATAATATACTATGCAGTTGGACAGTCCATGCACAAACTGACAAAGAAGTTTCAGTTATTTTTCACTCATTTGACACAGAATACAAGCAAGATACTGTCGTACTGAGAACATGTGATGATGTTATGATAAAAGAATGTTATGGTTCCAATAAAACAACTTTAGGGAAAGAAATGCTTCCTTTAGAACCAATTGTTTTTAATTCATCATGTTTTAAAGTTATTTTCAAGTCAGATGAAACATATTCCCTGGAGGGCTTTAATGCAACATTTTCAATTGGTAGGTGCTACTACAAAATATGAAGTTGTAATAAATAATTCTATTATAATCTAATAAATTATATTAAATAATATAATAAATATGTTTATTTTATATTAAATAACATAATAAACATTAAGCATAAAAATTGAATCATAGTATAAAAGTAGAAATTCATAGTTTAAAAATTAAGTATAGATTCATAACATAAAATTTAAGTTTTTTTATTCATTAAATTAAATCTGTCAGCATATAAAATACCAAAATGTTTATTTAAACTTTGAAACATTTTTTTTTTCAATTTTGATGTTTTAGTTGGTTATGTTTTTTCAATATTATATTTTATGATAATGATACTTTTTATATTCTTTAGAGTTTGTATATATATATATATACATATATATATATATATATATATATATATATATATATATATATATATATATATATATATATATATATATAATATTATTATTATTATTATTTTTTTTTTTTTTCTCTTAATTGTTGTTATAACCCTCTTTCAACTTTTTAACTAAGAAGCATTAACTTTTAACAAATAAGGTTTCAGAGAAATAAGTTGAGTGAAAAACTTCCAGTGTTATGATGAACTCTCACATAAAAGCTATACCACTACCCTTCATTTATACATCACTACCACATTTATACCACTACCCTTCATTTATACATCACTACCCTTCATTTATACCACTACCCTTCATTTATACATCACTACCACATTTGAATAGTAAGTTGCGTTTTATTTTTTATTATATATTTTTTTAAATTTTCATTTAAAATTTTTTTAGGGTGTCCTATGCTTCCTGCTATTAATGGGGGATCTTTTAGGCAAGATCAGAAATTTTATGGTGCTTCAGTTGAATACAAATGTGATAGCAGATTCAGAATTAAATCAGAAAATGGAAATGTTCGAAAGTGTATGTATGGTGGAAATTGGAGTGAACCTGCTCCATTTTGTGAAGGTTATTAGTTTTAGCTATAATTATTATTGATATATTTTTATTTAGTTATCATTTTACTTGTAAGTTTTATTAACTTTAATATGTTTGTATATTTGTTTATATTTGTTTTATAGTTATATTACTTATTTAATATTGTGGTTATATATTTTTTATTTTAAGCAACAACAAAAAAAAGACTTGATAAAGATAATTGAGATATTTTTTTATAAAAATTCATGAATCTATTGGTTCTCTTTATTCACATGAATCCATTAGTTCTCTTTATTTTCATGAATTCATTGGTTCTCTTTATTTTTTACATATTTTTAAGTATTTGATTTGAAGAATTATTATTTGTTTGTGTATTTCATTTTATTTGTTTTTGTGTCTTTCATATGTTTTTGTTATTGTCATTTATTAGTTTGAGAATGTTTAAACAATAATATTTATATATATATTTATTATTGTAACAATAATATATATTTGTTTATATATATTACAATTTGTTTGTTATTAGTCTAATTTTGTTACCGTATTGTTAATGATTATAATATTTTATTTTGGTTTAGAAATAAACTGTGGACATCCTGGAATTATTGAGAATGGTGGTTTTGAAATATATCCTTTAAACAGTACATTTGTTTTTATGACTTCTGTCAAATACTCATGTAATGTTGGTTATATACTTGTTGGCGAACCAAATCGAGTATGTCAAGTTAACTCTACTTGGTCAGGCGGAGTAGAAAGAAAATGTGAAGGTAAATAAATATACTTATAACATAAAAACTTATTTGCTTCATTTTATTAATTTGTATTATTATTTTTAATAATATTTTGAATTATTAATCTTAAAGTACTGAAATGTCCTGATCCTGGAACTCCAGTTAATGGAACAAGATCTGGAAATGAATTTAATGTTGGATCATCTATAACTTTTTCATGTGAAAAAGGGTTTAGGCGTCATGGTGCAAGAACAATTACATGTGGGATTACAGGAAAATGGAGCTCTGAAACACCATTGTGTAAAGGTAATATATGTATGTATGTATATATATATATATATTTATATATATATATATATATATATATATATATATATATATATATATATATATATATATATATATATATATATATAAAACTTAATAATCTTGATGAACCGTTCAAGTAAATCAAACCCAAATAACAATCTTATCTTATGTAGTAAAAATGAATGTAAAAAAAAATTATTTTTTGCGGAAAATTTAATATAGAAATCTAAACAATGTAAAAGTTTAAAAATACAAATATTTAGTTATTGGAACAGTGCACTGTTTAGGATAGAATCTATTGATCAGCTGTATAACAGTTTAATTTTATACTACTATTTCTGTACTATAGGTGTTATTTTTTATTGGAATTTTGTATGGAAGTATTTTCATGGTTGATTATGTTGTAGAAAATCATCTGTAAAAAAGTTACTGATTTTAGAAATTAAAGATGCACATTCAAATTATTGGCTAAAATGGCATCAAATAGCCAGGGGAAAAGTCAATAATTATATTAATTGTCTACCAACAGAAGAAGAAAAAGGCCATGTAGTATTTTAGAAAATTAACCATAAAAATTTCTCCATCTGGCAAGTAAATATTTATGTATTTCATTTAGCAGTGTAACAGTAGAATGCATGTTTTCAACTGCTGGATTGATTATTCATGATAACATTACTTAAATAAGTTAAGGTTGTAAAATGAATTTAATAAATGCAAAAATTGCAGAAAAACATGGTATTTTCTATTTTCAGCAGGCTAACCAGCCTCGTTTTTATTAGTCAGCTACCACTGTTTTTACAAGCAGTTAGCTGGCATTCAAGCCACTTCTATTAGCAAGTCATCCATGTGTTCTATTTATTTTGAGTGTGTGTGTGTGTGTGTATATATATATATATATATATATATATATATATATATATATATATATATATATATATATATATATATATATATATATATATATATATATATATATATGTATATATATATATATATATATATATATAGCGACAACAACAACAACAAGCTAATTATTTTCCATTTTAAAATCATTTTTACAATAGTAAGGTAAATAATAATACCAATAATAATTATAAAATAATAAGCAATAGTAATAATTTATAACAATAATAATAATAACAAAAAAAAATTATAAATAATAATAATTACTATAATAATAATAAATAAAGTGATATATGTTATTTCTTATTATAATATATTATAATAAGTTAATGATTAGTATGGATGGTGTCACTCATATAGAAGTCGGATCAAAGGAGTGACACCATTTTTCAAAATAGTATGACTAATAATAAACATATAGACATAAAACATAAAACATAGACACACATAAAGTAAACTTTAAAAAAATCATATATGTAGGTAATAATAAAAGAAAAAAAAAAAACAAACAAAAAAATAAGGATAATTATTATAGTAATAGAAAAAAATTATCGCAAAGTTTTTTTCAGAATTTTTTTAAACTGATTTTGATTAAGATTAAGAAAAAATGACAAAGGAGTTTGGAGTTGGAGTTTATTGAACTCATTCACAATGCACACAAGGCTCTTGTTTCATTCACAGATGCACCAATACACAACAGAATTCTTACCATACTTTTGAGTTTTATATGATGTTTCAATAAGTTTTCCATTATTTATATTTCGCGTAGAGTGTGTCTGAATTAGTCTACTTTCTATAAAAAAGTTTGCAATAGAAGGTAAATTTTTATTTAGAGAGCTAAAAACAAAAAGAATATTAGTAAACTTTACTAGCAAATGAAAGGTTGGAATTTTAAGTTTTTTTAAAGAATCTGATGTATCTGGTTTAAAAGGTTGAAAGTTTATTATTTTAATGGATTGGCGTTGAGATGACATTAGTTTGTTAATATGATAGTTGCCAAACTTGACAACAATAACTAAGATGAGATGAAAATAATGCAT